CTCGGGGCCTTGTGCTACAAGGTGTTGCACGCCCTCAGGGCCAAGCAAGGACATCAGCGTGTTAAGCCCGTCCTGCATGCCCTGGGGTAAAGAGAACAATTCCTCCATCCTCACAGAAAATCGGTCTAAACGACTCAGGCGTAGATTGACTACGAGTGCTAGCAAGTGCAGCGGGGCTGCCGTAGCTTTAGCGCGTGAGGAAGCGTAATTTAGCTCACCGGCCTTTCATTCTTTACAGGAACCAAGTTTGAGTTAGCGGATCGCAATCCGCTTACTCCAAGAGAAATTATTGCCTTCCCAAGGCTAATTGATTTTTCGGTTTAAAATCCAAAACTGATTTTTATTGATTATATCCTGATCTTAAAAGTTTAGATTTTCCTGAATATACTAAATATATATATTAAAATCTAAATACATGCATAACTACTGGCTACATAGCCCCGTACCGTATTATTGTTTGGGTGTGATCACACCATGCACATCTCGTGTGACTCCCCCCCCCGTTACCAGGTAACGTGTAACCCCGTTACACATTTGATATGTTTGAAGCGAAGTAATATTTGTTTAAACAGCAGGGAATCATGAGCCCTCGATTTCGTTCCCAAATAAATTGTTGTTAACACGGAATCTTACAGTCAACGTCATGCACCCATTTGTTTCAAGAAGTATCACTGTTTTTGGTGCAGACACAAAGATTAGATGGTTTATGTGAGAGTCATGACATTGTCTAATTCGCCCGGCAAAAACGTTGCTTAGTGCGTTGAACTAAACTTAAAGCGGTAGTGAATGGCGATCATATGATAAGACGGAAAGTTAAGATCGAAAGGTGCAACCTCCAGAGTGTATATTTTCCAATTTCCGAGTTGGACGTCGACGTTCTCTAAGAACGGGCATAGAGTCGCTTGATCAGGGAAAGGTCCTTGGAGATGGAAAACAACTTGACCGTCTATTGTTTGACCGCAGGATTTGGGTCTCAACACGAAAACCTTTTTTCATTGGTTGTCGGTCAGAGAGTCTATGCACGCGTGGCTCATTGAGCCATCGCCTATAGGGCGCAAGCTGAGGAAACGAGACAACTCCTGATGGTTTCAAATCTCGAAACCGCTTGCACTAACTAGTATGTGCAGTGGGAAGACGAAATTTCAGCGCAGTTGGTGCTTGTTTGTAGAATTTTCAATATGTGGGTTGTCTTGCAAATGGTAGATTGATTGTGACTCCCATTTCGGGGGGGAAGATGTATCAGCATACATATCTCCTTATGATGGATGTCAATACATACCCATTTTTCTATCATTCTTTTGTCTCAAAGCGAAGCGTAGAAGTACCAAAGTTAAGTATGATGAAGAGGTAACATGTTTAGTTTTTGGCACCGATGATGCGATAGACGACGTAAAGATAAGGTCCGTGTGATAACTATGATGCTAGTCTTTAGAAGCCACGAGACCAAAAATTAGACAATGAAGCCATTTGTCACGGCGGATAAATATGCGCTCACGTCGGGTGGAGTCAAATGAAAATAATATTGACTTTCATTCCTGAAACGATTTGCTTACGTAATAAAATGAAGATTACCAGAATCTATTCACT